CACCCACTTAGTACCCACTGTCGACGACTTAACCGACATGCTCGACTTCGACTCCGAAGACATCAAAGGTATGGACGACGATGCAGGAGACAAACCAGAACCACCGCCCACAGGACGTTGGACCGCTACTTCATCACATGACGTATACATGGTGGATGCACCCAGAGAGGGCAATGGCGAAGAGACAGCGGAGGATGCACCCTCCAAGAAACCCAAGCGCCGACGTCAACGGCGCCGCTCTAAGTCCCGCCATAGCAAAAACAACGATAATATTAGTCCACGTGACTCTGGAAGAAATGACAACTGCACCATCCCGGTGGCAGAACACGATCAAGATGCAAACTGCACACATAGTATGGATCCGATGTCCGAACACGATGACGCCAAAGATAAGCCTCATCAATCCCCGTCTAGGGAACAAAACAGTCCGGGCGAAGATGCACACATCATCCTGGAAACGCACTTGGAGAAAGAAAACCTCCGCGGAAGGCTTATTGCCACAGCAAGGAGACTGAAGAAACAGAAGCAAAGGCTCAAGGTCGCACAAGATATGCTCAACAGCAAGTGGAACAAAGTAACAAAGTATGGTGGAAGTTACCATCAAAATAGCTATCCAAAGCGCAAACTATTACCGAAATTCGACAATGAGGCCTTAGAGCCTATACAGCCGAAAGGTGATACGGCCAACCGGCCGGATCCACCACCCTGTGAACGCGATAGAGCAGCTAACAAAGTCATGCATAAGTCAACACACGATTCACGTGAGAACTTGCGTCAAAAATCTGGCGCGACCAGATCTATCTATGGATCTAGGAAGCGTGCTACGGTACACAACCAACGCTGAATACTACAACCGTTCGAACACCATGGCACATCCCAATACAGGGGTGCCGCACACCCCTTATGTTTCGCTGATGAGGTGCTGGATCACGAATTCCCAGAGGGATTCAAACCAGTGAACATAGAGGCGTACGACGGAACCACAGACCCTGGAGTCTGGATAGAGGACTTCATCCTCCATATTCATATGGCTCATGGAGACGATTTCCATGCCATTAAATACTTGCCCCTCAAGCTTAAAGGGCCAGCTAGGCACTAGCTGAAAATCCTCCCCGAAAACTGAATTGGAAGTTGGGAGGAGCTCGAGGACGCTTTCTGGGCCAATTTTCAAGGGACTTATGTCCGACCTCCGGATGCAGACGATTTAAGTCATATAATCCAACAGTCCGGAGAGTCCGCCCGAAAGCTTTGGAATAGGTTCCTCACCAAGAAGAACCAAATCGTCGACTGTCCGGACGCCGAAGCCTTAACAGCTTTTAAACACAGCGTCCGAGATGAATGGCTCGCCAGACACCTCGGTCAAGAAAAACCGAGAACAATGGCAGCCCTAACAAGCCTCATGACCCACTTTTGTGCAGGCGAGGACAGCTGGTTGGCCCGTAGCAGCACCAGCGACCCAAGCACATCCGAAGTCAGGGATGGCAATGGTAAACCACGATGCAACAAAAACAAGCGTCGAAATAAAGAAGGTAGCCCAGATAACACGACGCTAAACGCCGGATTCAGGGGCTCCTAACCAGACCAGCGGAAAAGGCCTTTCAAAGGCAGTAGAGAAGGACAATCTGGCCTAAACAAAATTCTTGACAAACTATGTCAGATTCACGGCACCCAAGACAAACCTCCAAATCATACCCATAGAGAATGTTGGGTCTTCAAGCAGGCCGGTAAGATAAACGCCAAATACAAAGGCGAAGAGACACCAAGCGAAGACGAGGATGAACCTCGCCAGCAAAATGCCGGAGGATAGAAAAAGTTCCCACCAGAGGTTAAAACAGTAAATGTAATCCATGTGACAAAGAGGAGAAGCAATCATGCACTCCGATGCACACGCGCCATAGAGCTCGTCACCCCTATGTTCAACCACTCGTTGGCATGCCCGATCACTTTTGATCGTCGGGATCACGTTACAAATATCCGGCGTGAAGGGCTGACAACCTTGGTGCTAGACCCAATAGTAAATGGGTACCATTTCACACGGGTCCTCATGGACGGCGGCAGTGACCTAAATCTGATATATCAGGACACAGTCCGCAGAATGGGGATAGACCCGACACAAATAAGCCACAGTAATACTACCTTCAAGGGAGTAACACTAGGCCAAGAGACCCGCTGTACGGGCTCTCTACCACTAGAGGTGGTATTCGGTTCTCCCGATAACTTCCGAAGCGAAATGTTAACTTTTCACATCACTCCATTCCGAAGTGATTATCAAGCACTACACGGAAGGGCGGCTTTTGCTCGTTTTAACGCAGTACCGCATTATGCTTTTCTCAAGCTCAAGATGCCCGGTCCACGTGGCATCATCACAGTTAGCGGAAATACCGAACGTTTTTTACGTATGGAATAGGATGTGGCAGCTCTAGCAGCCGCAAACTAAGACAGCCTCACCAAACAAAAAAATGGCATGTCGTCAAGACCACGGACACGGTTAGACGAATCCGACGTTCCATCATATATACATGAGATTGGTTTTCGAACCCTCATAAAATGACACCTGGGGCTTCCCGCGGGTAATCAGGGCCAGCCCGGCTCAACTTGGTTTCTCTTGAATTTCGATAGTTCATTGATAATAACCAACTCTTCTCAATTTTGGCACGACAACTTTCACCTAAGTTCTTTCCTTTTACAGATGACAATCGTGCTGCACCCGTCCAGGACATGGCACAACAGGGACACAGGCGCAGACGTGCAGCAGGGACCCGCCCAAAGGTTTCTTTTTAGATTAAGACCCTGCGTAAACCTTTTTTACTGTCTCTTGTTGCTCACATCCTCCGGATACTCCACACAACCGAGAAGGATGCTGGCGTTATTGGCATGTGGCCACGCCAGGATTTTGCACGTACCTGGACACATGGGGTTCACTACAAGAAATACGGTCAATTATGACTCCCCATTTTGGTCATTAATTTGTCATTGCTTTCGTTTATTGACCTTTTTTAACCAAATTCGGAAGGTCAACAGTTGGCCGTCAAGAACGAACAAATGTGACCTTTTCTGGAATTTTTGTCATGGCCGCCCCTGACCAAAATTTTGGTCGTTAAATCTTTGACCAAAATTATGGTCATTACTAATGAGCCTAGGCCACCTAGGATCTGATGTGGCTGAACCAGCATGGCGCTGACGTGGAAAAAATGATGACATGGATGCCATGTAGGATTAGTCCAAATCAGTTGTTTTAATGGGCTGAGCCCAATAATTTAGCCCATTTTTACATTTACTTTTGGGCCACAACCTGTTAATGTTAGTTCTTGGGCTCAGGAAATGTGCAGTCCATTTATTGAATGCCAGCCCTTCTCTCTAAACAACAAAAATATATGAATCTTTTTCTATCAAAAAAACTATATTGGGCCTTGAGACGAGCAAGCCCACTCATACAATTTAGTATTTTCGCTGTCCAGCAAATAGCCAACAGTAGCTCAAAAAGAAAAAAAATCATTGCACAATTTGGCAGTCAACGAATACTGGAGAATAGAATGATAAATATAATTCTCCAAGATTTCATTAACTTAGGCCCAACAGTATCATTACGCCACAGTTTTAGAAGATGCACCAACCAAAATAACATAGCCAGTAGCTTAGTATCAGTACACCATGTTCATAAGATGCACCAACCAAAACAGAACCTCCTCAAACCACAGCCAATCCCTGGTCCATATTGTGATTCCTATGTCCAGTCAACCAAAACTCATCAACCCCAGGTCCAAACAACTCAACATCAAAGGTCCCAAAGCCAACATCAACCATGACGTACTAAACTATTTTACCTTCGAATAGATCCATGATACGCGCAAATCTAGCATCACTTGCTACAGCCCTAGCATCGGTGGCCTCAACTCTTTGCAGTAACAACTGATACTCTGCGGCGCGTGCAGCTTCGGTCTCCTCTGATTTTTTCTTGACCTCAACAAGCTCCTCTCGCATCAACTTAGAGGCTTGCCTCTCCCTCTCAAGCTTGTACTCTAGTTCTTGTACATGAGCATCCAAAGCAGATGCAGACCTGTTGAACTTCTTCTTGGAGATCGAATCAAGGCCAACATTTTGAAGGAATGTGCTGGAGGGACATTCTTTAGTGAGAATGTCAGCAACAACAGCAGCAACATTCTTTGGTTCTCCACCTTCTGGTACCCCTTGTTCCATAGCTTTTTACATGTCAGCCTCACATTTAAAGAAAGATGTACACATGTCATTGCAGTTGGTTCTGAATGACTAGGAAACTTTATAAGCAAACTATTCAAGAATGTTGACTAAATAATAATCCAGTCTCCATGCTACTAATTAACTAGTAGTTATTTGAAAACTTTGAAGCAGACAAGCAGAATTAATCATTCTTAGGAATCACTTTTTTTGCAAGTTACTATCAGCTACATGAAAGAAGCATGGCACCAGGTTTATTAAATAGGTAAGCATACACAACAAACCATTGTTGAAATTTAAATTAGGCAACTAAGTGCACCTCTGTTTAGCTTAAATGGGAACATGGAGCGGAGAAGAATGTAGTACATTTCAGGAGCGCATATGTTGTTTCTTTAGTACAGTATACAGTATCAGAGAATCCACTTCCACAAGTCCTAAACATTTCATTCAGATCGTATATGAAATGACAGAGTTTATCCACTTCGAAAGCAAGTAAGATAGATGCTTCAGGCAATCACTAGAAAAATAATAAAAGAGCATACAACACTCTCTCTTAATTACCAGTGTTAAAAGACAAAGCAGTACCTGCTGGACTGCAACAAGAACTAAAATTGCCTAAATATTGTCGCATTTCCAGTACCAAAATGAATATGCAATGCAATGAAATAGAGGATTGGGACAAACAAACTATAACAAAACATGAATCATATACTGTACTACTTTGAACAACCCATCTCTATCAAATCTGTCGATCAGAAGTCATATAATGTAATCAAGTGTAACAAGGATGAGGTAAACAAGCCTCATCAACACAGAAAAGAATAGTAGAAACTTGCTATCGCCTTCTTAACTGGCTCAGAGAAATCAGTCTTCTTGCCATTGTGGCACTCCTTGAATAGATCAAACAAAGTCAACTCTTCACCCTTACGAGCCTCTTTCTGAAATTGTTCACGACACAATGGAACAATAAGAAACAATTGAAAGAATCACTGTAGTAGCAAATGAAAACATGAGAGATCCTTACCAAAGCATGAACATGAGAAATGTAGGGGCGAGAACCAGTTTTCTGATGGAACTTAACTTCGAAACGGTTCTCCTTGTTCGACTGACAGGTTTCCTACCATGGAAAAAGATGTATGAGAATTAATGGAGCAACCACAAAGGCTCCTAAAGATTGCAATCCAAGTTACAGTTCAAAAGGGTATGCAGCCATAATAGCATGAAAATCAATGTTATCATCATCTCTCCAAGTAGCACAACTGATGTTTAGTAAAGAAAGGTAGAGATAAAGACAACATATCTATCTTCAGACATCATGTCTTTTTATTGATCGACTTCCTTGCCTTCTTAGGAACCTTCAAAGCATTATAATAAAAGAGAGACAACTATTAGATCTCATGCAAAAAATGTATTTCCAGAATTAGTCAAAGCACTAAAGCACATATAGCATACAAATAGCCCCCATCCCTCAAAAACAAAAGTAGAATTAGCACCGTATCTTCCTTCTCCACTACAATATCATCAACTTCATCCTCCTCAATGACCTCATCGTCAGGACTCTACTCAGAGCTTGAGGCTTGTTGTGTTATGGCAGAAGCTGAGTCCCCATCGGTGATGACACTACTTCGCTGCATTCGATTTGAGTTCCTAACCATCATACCTAATGCAGTGATGCCAAGTGATTGGAATATGCGGTTGTTCCTCATCAAATTTTTAGCCCTAATCTTCTTGTATTCAGCAGTTGGCGCTTCTTTACATGAACAAAAAATATAATTGTAAGACTGAATGGTTGAAATGCATAGGAGAAGCAAGACAACACAAACAACTGAGCTGCGAGTTTCTTAGCAATCCTAGAATACAATTACAAATCAGGAGTGAACTATTTTATTTTGTTTTTACTACAGAGTACATATCAGGAGCGAACTGTTTTATTTTGTTTTTTATACAAAGTACATATCAGGAGCGAACTATTAGTAATCCTAGAAGACATAAATTTCAGGTACTAGGTTACAAACATTAGCTAGGCACGAAACTATGCAAAGCGCAATTCACGTCCATAGAAAACCAAACAGCACACTCAACAAACAAGTTATATACCTGCGAGTTTCTTGCTCGTTGTCATCTTTGTCATAGTGGATCTCACAGGAATTGGAACTGTGCTAATCAGCTTGGTTGTTACCTAGTTTACTTGCCTTGCTTGCTGGACGAGTTAATGGCCTAGGGAGCAGCATAGCAGTTACAAGTTAAAAATATAAAGTGGGCAGATGCTTTGAAAGGTAGATAAATAGTTGCACATATAATAGTATCTAGACACAAGCACTTCACTACTTGTCATCGACATCAGTCACACTGTCACACATAAGCTGTAGCCTACACATTTTTAGCTATTGATAAAGATTGCTTATGTATCATGTCTTTGTATAATATACAAGTATTCAGTTGAGAGCAAGTGCAAAACAAAATACATTTGCAGTTCAAATGTTCAGTTCGTTAAATTTGCAGAAATTAAGTGTAGCAATGGGATTAAATATTTAAATTAACAGCCAGTGAAAAACTGATGTTGATTTGGAATTTTCAATGGGGACTGGCAGAACTAGAGCAGTGTGGTCACGTAATATCATGAGTCTACTATTGCAGAGCTATCTAGACTCCCGCAATGCCACTTTTCTTCGGTAAAAGTAGACTTAGTTGTCCAGAAACTGAATCGGATTTAGTTAAAATGGACCACCTACTTGGATGTGGGATGAACATGAAGTTACCTAGGGGAGGACAGAGAACATAGTCCGCTTGTACTTGGGCACCTCCGTGAGCAGCTTGTCCTGAGAGGTTGGTCGAACGGCACCCTCTTCTACTTCCTTTCCACCTCTTCAACCTTCACCATGACATAACAAATACAGTGAGAAACGGTGGAGTGTGATGGTGCAGAGAGAGAGAGAGAGAGATGTGATGGTGGAGTGTGCTGCTAGGTTGGGCGAGCTAGAGCGGGGAAGCACAGGCGCCAGAGGCCCGTACCTGGAGAGGTCAAGGTCACGCCGCTGCTCCCGTCGCCCCGCCGGTGGTTGGACCGGCCGCTGCTCGCGTCGCCCCTCCGGCGGCTGGACCGGCCGCTGCTTGCGCCGCACGCCGGTGGCTGGAACGGCCGCTGCTCGCGGCACCCCGCCGGTGGCTAGATCGGCCGCGGCTCGCGCTCGAGGGGAAGGCAGGGGCGGCTAGGGTTCGTGAGGAGGGCAGGGGCGGCTAGGGTTCGAGGGGATTTGGGGATTTGGGGGACGGGAGCGGTGGTACGGTGCAGTGCGGCTGAATTAGTTCGACGAAAATACCCTCATATCATGCGGTGCGGGCGTGTGGCGGTGTTCTCTGGTGACAAAAATACCCTCATTTGTGGAGCAGGAAAATTTTCGCCAGCAGCGGGAAAGATTTTAGGTGTGGCGGGAGGAGATGTGGAGGTAGAAAACTTAGCACATATTATGTACAAAAAATAATTAAGTCATTTTTATGGAAATTTGAACTACAACTCCCTTATAGTTTACTTGTTATTTTAAAAAAATATTTTTAGGTACACAAATATCTATTTCATCATAGATATACCAAGAGTTTTGCAAGAATCAACCCTAAGTATGAACAGTTATTCTGGATTTTTTTGACTGCATTTTGAAACCGGCATAACAAATTCAAAAAAAATCAAAACAAAAAAAACCTTCGCATTATGTAATTATATGTGGCCTAGCTGCTGGGAAACATGATAAACTTGTAATATGACAATTGTCTCAAAAAGTGTTCTAAAAAATTAGCTATCATGTATGAAGATTCATGAATTACAAGCCAAATGACCACTGTGATGGAGCATTTGTTTCGGCTAGAGCAAACCAGTCGACAGTGAAACAACATGGCGCCGAGGTCCCCACCCGTAGCCACCGGCGGAGCGACAGATGGAGGCAGGGACCAGCGGCTTCGCCGGCGGAGGGAGGGGCAATGGTTTCTCTTCCTTGTTTGCCTCTCGTGCGGTTGGGGAAGAGAACGAGTCGTAGGATTAATGACCTTCAATATCTTTTTCCATGCTCTCCTCATTATTGGTATACTTCATCACATCGCTCATTATTCCGCCGAGCACTCTCCACAACACCAACAAGCTCCAGCGTGCCTTTCTTTTGGCCGATTCTGACAAGACCACAGGGGCAAAATGCAAAGTAAACTGGGACCTCATATGCCGCCCATACGACCATGCAGGCCTCGGTGTGCTCAACACTGACAAATTCGTGCGCGCCCTCCGACTGCATTGGTTATGGTCTGAATGGACTGAGTCGTCCAAGATGTGGGTTGGCATGGGCAACCCTTGCGATGAAAAGAACCGGGATTTCTTCTATGCCTCCACTTCTATCACTATTGGGAACAGGGCCAAGACCCCTTTTTGGGAGGCGCCTTGGGTGCACGGCAGGAGACCTATTTATATTGAGCCTCTCATCCATGAGGCTTCCACAAGAAAAAACTGAAAGGTGAGAGAAGCTCTCAATAAGGGATCCTGGATCAACAAAATCAAGATGACCGCCAACTTCTTTATGACACACATTCGTCAATTTGTTGATCTTTGGCTTCTGATCTCGGAATTCTCACTTGAGGAGCACATGGAGGATGAGATTACTTGGAAGCATGCCACTAATGGCCAATACTCCACGACGGCGGCTTACTCCGTGCAATTTCTTGGAATGGTCCACTCTCCTATGGATCACACGGTTTGGAAGGATTGGGCACCGCCCAAGGTGAAATTGTTTGCTTGGCTGGCCATACAAGATCGAATCTAGACAACTAATAGGTTGGCCCGGCGTGGATGGCCAAACTGTCAACTCTGCCCCCTATGCAAAAGAGAACAAGAATCTGGCCTACACCTTTTCGTCAAATGTCGATTCACCCTTCGCCTATGGAATTTGGTCAATGAGTAGGTACATTTAGAAGATCTTGACACATTTACTTGGCACCTTGAGGACTCTTTAAAGGAATGGTGGGTAAATAGATCAAGCAAGAGCACCCCCAACAGGAAAGCCATGGCCTCCCTCGCCATGCTATTGGGATGGACCATTTGGAACGAACAGAACGCCCAGGTCTTTCGACAAAAGAGTATGCCTCCAACGGTTTTGCTCAACAACATCAAGAGTGAAGTCATCCTTTGGGTAACCGCCGGGGCGAAGAAATTGGGTAACATCAAGTAACACTCTTTTGTTTTTTCAGTTACGAGGTGTATTTCGAACTCTATTCCCCCTTAATTAATATAAGAGGCAAATATTTTGCCTCGGTTTCACAAAAATTAATTGGTGGCAATGTCAGTTTGCTTTATGTTGGTTTTCTAATTTCTACATGTTCCTTTCTTACAGACTCTCCTTTTGCAACGTCCGGGTATGTGTCTTACTTATATATAATTTTCTGAGTTCATATGAATTTATTATGATCTTGGGAGTTTAAATATAATTTAAAGGACACAGCCCCACATGTCATAGCTTTAGTTACTAAGGGAGTTCTTTAGTAAAAAAAGGGGAAATTCTTTAGTATTTTGATTAACTCAGCTTCTGTTAGCAACACAGTCGGTGGCAGCAAACACGGCCGCGAAACACTAAGCCTGAACCCAATTGTTCGGCTGTTTCTGAACCCAACTGAACCAAAGCCACGCAACACTAATCTGAACCCACGCATTCTGTGCATTTTTTTCATTTTTAACAAGCCGCGTTACAACAGTCTGAACCCACGCAACACTAAGTCAGAACCAACTGCTTCAATTTTTATCCAATAATGCAGGTCAGCCCAATAGATGAGGCAAAATTAGTAGTGCGGCTTTGTACCAATAAACATACGATTCCATGATCCAGATGAAGTTTGACTGACTTAAACTCTAACAACAACTCAATCACTCGAAAGGTTACTAGCTAGCATGGGACTTCTTCAGGATGACACACTCATACTTGACCTGGAACCACTTCATGGAATCTTTTTTTCATGGCATCTTCCTTGGTCACCCTTTGGTGGATCCCAACACAGGCCTTGCATCGGCATCGTTGGGGACGCGGTATCCAGCATGCTCCAGAACAACAAAGAGCTCCATACTCCATACCATAAATACCAGTTGATGGACAAGGTTACAACTTACAAGTTCAGTACCTGTTCAGGAAGTCATACCTGAGGGAATTAATCCAGTAAGTTTGAAGTATGTAAGAAAATATCATATCAATATTAGCACGCAAACCATAGTTCATAGAGGAACACAAAACACTTATCGAGAACAAGGTTACAACTTACAAGTTCAGACATACATAAAGTATGTTAACTATCAAACCTAATGGACAACATACAGGTATAACCGATACAACCAAACAAGGCAAGGTATTATATAGATAACATTTAGATTTCTTTACTTGAAAAGGACAGACAAAATATACCATAGACCTTTCTGTAGTAGAAGCACAAAATATCAATTGACCATAGACCTTTCTGCACTAGAACCGAACAAGTCAAGGCAAGGTATTAAGAAAGATGTGAACACATGAGATAAAATGTAGAGACGTGAACACAGAAGATAAATTCACAGAAACTACTCGTCATCATCACCAATATTGTGACCGGTGTGATGTTCATCATCACTACGATATTGCATCATAGTTTCATCGTGGTCATCCTCCTCCTCGCTTTCATCCAATAATTCAATATGTTGTTTGACAAGTTTTGCTGCTACAAAGGATCAAAAAAGTGTTCTAAAAAATAAGCAATCATGTAGGAAGAAGAACAGGAAGTTTGCGCCACGCAGAACTTGCGGCTTTTCTGCCTTTCATTCACCGAATTTACTTCCAGTACAGCAAAGGAAACATGCTCATGGACCCTAACTACACGGCACCACCGATCGTGGTGCTCGTGCCATCCCACGAGCGATCAGAGGGGGCGCCATACTCACTCTTGGCGCTAACTAACTCGAGCTAAACTCATTGACAGAAAACAACCTCAAACTACTACTGATGAAACTGACGAAACTGAAGAAATAAACACTAGCTACTGAAGACTTGGCTTTATTCAACAGATATGACCATGCTAGAAAGAGTAGATTTCTCACATAACAATTGATAATGTAATATCATGCATGTGTGTAAGATGGAAAATTTTCTCAAATTTTGAACCATTAGATATCGATGCAGAGTTGAGATGGCAGGTAAACATATAGCAGAGTTGAGATGATTTAAGTAAGACACAGTACTCAGGAGTATTTTTCCCCACACAAATGATCAGAGAATGAAAAGAGCTACAATACTCAGGTGTAAGCTTGTGTGCTGAGTGACTCGCTTGGAAAAGAGCTACAATACTCACTGAGAATGAACAGCAGCTTCAGAGCACTAACCATAGAATAGAAGCTTTGTTCGGCTGCAGCACTTAGAAATGGCAAGGATGCCGTCCGCCCTACGCAGCCCGCTCTAGAGATGACGCCGTCCGCCACCGTCTGTACTCAGCAGATGACGCTCTCTGCCACCGGGCGCTACCCGCCACCCGATCAGTGCAGGTGATGGACGGCCACGGCGCCGCACTCTCCCCACTCGGTGCAAATGATGGTCGGCCGCGGCACCACCCGCTGCCTGACCGACGCAGGTGACGGTCACCCGCGCCACCGCCGAACACGGTTGGTGATTTTTGTTTCTAGGGTTCGTTTCTAAGTCACAGACTTGGCCCGGTTTATTTTCTTTTTTTCAGAAAAAGGGACTTGGCCCAGTTTATTTTCTTTTGTTCGGAAAAAGGGACTTGGCCCAGGTAATCCAGAAAAAGTGACCGTCCAGTTTTGGCCCAAAGGAGGCCCACTCATCGCAACGTAAACAAATTTCACGATGAGGTCTAACTGGTAAGTGGCTGTTTGGATGAGCGATTGTTGTTCGGTGCGAGTCCGGTGCTGCCCTTTTTTTATCAACTTTATGTAATTAAATTCCTATTTTTATCAACTTTATGTAATTAAATTACTGAGTTGTAATCTAGTCACCCTCATCTCCTATGATGATTGACAAATAGGAACGCCACGTAGACAAAATTGCTGAGTTGTCATCCAGTCACCCTCATCAAGTTTTTATGATGATATATTTTGGTCATTATGGACTGAAATAAGGTAGTATGCACCATTCACATCTTTATGACCTTTCTATGAAATCAAATAACGACCATTTGGCCCTGAATTATCATGAGACTATAGGGTTTGAACCCTTCTACACCCTTCATGACTAATTTGTGAATTTTGGTCATGGATCTATGACTAATTAAACCGCGGTCACTAATTTTTGTCATGTACGAGCGTTTTTCTTGTAGTGGTTTCTTATTAAGGGCATTGTTTAGCCGGTATATGTTATAAAGACCGAACACCTTAGGGAGTGTTCGGCGTCGCGAGTTTGGACCTATATGCATCAGCTCCAAATCATGTCTTTGGTCAAATGTTGGGTTTGCCCGGCTCCCACGTTTTGGTACCTTATGTTCCGTTATATCGGCTAAGGTAGCACTGGGAGAACTACTGCGATTGTGCCCTGGTTCATCCGGATGAGCACCTCAGTAGAGAAAGCCGAAAATTGGCTGTCATGATATAGCGAGAGACTGGTCAACCACTCAATGACTCATCGGAATCTTCGGGATTCCTCTGCAATAATGAAGGACCGTTTCTCGGTCACGTACGTACGCGCCCCGTATTCGGACGAGCGCAGAAATACCAGGGGCTACATAGTAGCCCCACTGTCAAACTCCTATGGCCAAGTGAAAGTGTTAAAGCAATATAGTCCGATTGCCTAGTTCGCTGCGCTATCACCTGCTTAACGGACCAAGACGTTGGATCAAGTGTGGATATGCATCTTTTGCGAACACCCCTGCATTATATGCATGGGGGCGGAAGCCGACGACTGCAAACTTTCAGGTTATACACATATATACAAAAACGGCCGCACAGGAGGCACCATAGTACTTTCGGGCAAAAGTATAAATAGAGCCTTGACAATTCAATAAAACTTTGTTTTTACAATGGGAATACATGTCGCTTGAACATAACATTCTTCGAGCACTGAGCCTCTATCGAA